ATGTGATAAATAGATTATAACATGTCTTTTCCATATTGGCCCTGCTAAAGCCTCGAGGCCGATATGGGAGTCTCGGGATGATACCAGGGCCAATATGGAAAAGGGCATGTTATAATATGTTATAAGTATAGATTATAACATGCCCTTTTCCATATTGGCCCTGGTATCATCCCGAGACTCCCATATCGGCCTCGAGGCTTAAGCCGAGGGCCGATATGGGTCGAGGGATGATACCAGGGCCAATATGGAAAAGACATGTTATAATCTATCTATCACATATTTAAGTTCTGCAGAAAAGAGAAAAAAGTTCAATTATAACAATTTAATGAAATATAACAGGTAAAATCTTAAAAATTTTATCACAAAAGTTTTATCACATTTTTAAATTTAGTTTTTATCATTTACACTATAGAAATTTATTGTCACATTTCCACTTATTTCGGAATCAGGGCACATTTGCTCTACAAAGTCTGCCGTATCGCTTTCCTCCACTGCGATGAAACGAGCAACGTTATTGTTCGCCATTGTCGTTAAGGACGCAATGACGTCATGTCATTTGGAATCAGGGCACAATAACCAATAACCTCTTTTTTGCCCCGGGCAATTTTGAGGTTATTACATATGCAAAACCCAACGTATTCGTAACAAATATGTGATAATCTATACTTATTAAATGATATGAGCAAATAAGCCCTAATACGGATAAATCAGCATCTGCAATACTAAAAACGTTCCACTGTCGATATAAATCAAGATTTAATATTGCTCTTTCAACAGGGCCAATACGGAAAAAAACAGGGCCAATACAGAAAAAAGCGGGAAAAAGGCCGTATTAGCCCTAGGGCTAATACAGGACGTTCACTTCCGGTTTTCAATTTTCTTACGCCATTACTTAACTTTGGAAGTATCGTTATGCATAAAAACATTTGTATAATATTTTTTAAATTAAAATCATTAAATAAACATGTTAAATGATGTGCAATGTTTTGTAACGTCTTAAAGTTTTGAAACGGAAAAAACAGGGCCAATACAGAAAAAAACGGGAAAAAAAGCCGTATTGGTCCATGGGCTAATACGGGACGTTCACTTCCGGTTTTTTATTTTTGCGTGAACCCCTGAGGGTTCACGCATATTTATTAGTTAGAAATATAGTCTATGGAGGAATATTCGGAAGCTAAATTATTGTTCATTCGGAACATCTATTTATCTTATCTGTATTAGCTTCCTGCAATTAAGAGCACCTCCATACGGTGTATCTAAGATATTTAAAACATGGCAATAAAGAATTTTCACAGATCGCTAATTCACTTATCTGATATATGATAATAAACAATCTATAGATCCTTTTCAAACATGTATATTTACTGTAAAGCTACATTTTATGCATTGCAAGGGTTTACTGACTTGGGCAAAGTTGACAGTTGTACCCTTTGATAAACAAGTGAAAGTAACGGTTAAATGGTCAAGATTTAATTATAACGACCTATGGTATCAAACATCTGTGTCTAGATATTCACAGAGAGATATTTTAAAATAGTGCCGTGGTTTCTACATAATGAGTTATAGCTATAGTGGGCTTTTGTGGGATTTGATTTGTAACAATAAAATAATTATGCACACTTGTCATTTTGACAAATCAGATAAAAAAAAATCTGTTTCAAATGAAAATAAAACAAGTAAAATAAAGACTGTTCGTTAATTAATATACATTTTTACAACTTTTACTGTTTCCTTTTTACAGTATTCTCTATTAATTAAGTTATCTTGTAAGTTAATTAAATGTTTATTTAATTCATTGGTGTCACTATTATTTCAGTCACCGCTGCAGAAACAATGAGAAAGTCTTGACTCGTTCAAGAGACTACTGCATGCACATTTAAATTTCAAGTCCCATGTTTTTATTTGCACCATGTATAAATGTTCTGTACAGCACAAATTATTTCCTTTCTAATAAAATCATTTTTGGACTTGTTAGGTATGCAAGCGCACACCAAACAGTGACAGGATAGTCAACCAAATGACGGTAGCCCACTTAGTGGTAGAAGTAGAAATTTCTTATATTATTCACACACTGTAATGCTCTTAAATTTATGTGTATTTTGGATATGCACTAGTGATTGGTAAATATTGATACGTTTCTGTGTTTTTAATATACGTGACTTAGGCCAAGTAAATTTAATTAGTAGATTTTCATCCAAATTTTTGAAAAAAATGGGGTGGGTGGGAGGATTTTATTTTTTATTTTTTATTAGATATGAAACGCTCTTGTGACGTGTTCTTCATATATGCAAGTGTAATAATAAGGTTCTATCATGTATATACATGTATAACGAATCAAACATACAAAGAAATGCAAAAACCAAAATTTGAAACAGGATGTTATTAATGAAACGAAATTATCGACAGTTACCGGTAACGAAAATGAATAAAATCCGGAAATCGTAAATTTTTCAAAATAAAAAAAATTGGGGCGGAACGATTTCAGAGGGGCGGGCGGGGATGAAAATCTATCAATTAATTTTAATTGGCCTTAACATCAAGAATTCCATTATTATGGAATCGTTCACTTTTGTACACTTCGGTATCTAATTAGAGGATGATAAAAGGGAGGGTCTGAACACGGAAACACGTGAAATAACAAATCGCAAAAACGTTGCACGGAGAGAAAAAAAAACACTCTGGAAAAACGAAGCCAAGGAATAAAATCGTAAATATTAAGGAAAAAAGTACCAACAGTTTTTACTCAGCCGTTCTTGGAGATCATGAAGTCATTATAAATGGACATGGCGACATGCATGTGGTCACCTTTTAGCGTCCGTTAGTTGCATCCGATTTATCATAGTAATATAATAGGCTATTAATAAATATCTTGGGACCAGTTAATTAGTTTATAATTTAAAATAATATTTGGGCTGACTTTGAATTAGTCCCGGTTTACTTTTTAATCAAATGCGGGACAAGCACGAGAAAATAAGAGTACCGACACGAAACACGGAAAATAATTAAGGGAAAACACGAAGCACGCACATCGAACCAAACACGAGAAAACGAGAAATAAAACGTCGAAACACGGAAACACGTGAAATAAAAAGGCCGAAAACGTTGCACGAAAATAACCCTTTACCACCCTCTAAATAGGCCATACTAGATGTCGACACCTCATATTAGAACTTAAGTAGATGGTCAATTTTGTTTGCAAGGTTAAAAAAATCTTCAACTTGCTCTAATTTGCCTGTGAAGACCATAAAACCATCATCCCTATTGATAGTGTAATTTGATGTTTTCTCTCCATTGGAACTTATCTAAGATTTTAATGAGTACAAATTAATAAGACTGGTTGGTACGCTCCTATAATGTGTTTGTATAACAGTCCATTAAACTCAAATTCATTGTTTCTAAGAATTAATTTAACAAATGCAGTTAAATCTATTTTGTTGAGCATCTTTAAAGTATATTCTCCTGTGTGTCAATAAATTCTAATGCATTGATAACAATTTCTTCTAAATTGACATTGATCATATTTGTCTACATTGACGTACATCATAGGCATAAGAATGCATACTTTTTTAACCTCGTGTGACTCTATTTTATTAATGATTTTTTTTGTATCTTGAATGTAAAAGTTATGCCTCTTCAATAATTGGATCTTGGATGTGTACTAATTGATAATTTAGTCTTAGATGCATGATTTTTTAAATTAGTTGCTAGTGGCTTTGAACTAGCTGTCAGTAACTGCGAGTACTCTCAGATCTGTGCTTAGTGTCTATTTGTTGTTGGGATATACAAGTACCCGGCCACGTCCACTCTGTGTAGTATTTCTGTTTGTATCCATCTGATGAGTTAAGCCTTTTTCAACTGATTTTTATAGTTCGTTCTTATGTTGTACTGTTATACCACTGTCCCATGTTAGAGGGAGGGTTGGGTCCCGCTAACATGTTTAACCCCGCCACATTCTGTATGTATGTGCCTGTCCCAAGTCAGGAGCCTGTAATTCAGTGGTTGTCGTTTGTTGATGTGTTACATATTTGTTTTTCGTTCATTTTTTGTACATAAATTAGGCCGTTAGTTTTCTCGTTTGAATTGCTTTTACATTTGTCATTTCGGGGCATTTTATAGCTGACTATGCGGTATGGGCTTTGCTCATTGTTGAAGACCGTACGGTGACCTATAGTTGTTAATTTCTGTGTCATTTGGTCTCTTGTGGAGAGTTGTCTCATTGGCAATCATACCACATCTTCTTTTTTATACTTTATAATTAGATCAAGTAAGTATCTCTCGCGGGAGAGTTACACTTATTGATGATTGGTCGGTAACGAACATTAATTGAGTATTGTATTAACTCATATGCTTGATATTTTATTGAATAAAATATTATTATTATTATTAATGTCACGTCCTGCTAGCTGACCAGTTCGCAATGCCTCATTACTTATTTCTAGATTAATTTAATGAATTTTTGGAAGAAGGTACATGTGTCCTCCATGTTTTGAATTATTATTATTCTTTAAGAAATTATACGTCTGGGAATCTTTTTTTTTCTCTCCTTGCTTTAAATTTAACACTTCTCTCAACATGCCAAAATTGTAATGATTTATAATAAAAAGAAAATATTATCCCCCACACACATGGCCAAGATAACACTGATATATAATTTCTTATTCAGTTGAATTAATAATTAGAATAAAAAAATTCTAAGGTTCACGCGTATTGTCTTTTTTTTTAAAAAAAGCAACTTGTCTTATAATCATTTAATAAAAGTGTTATGAACTGGCTGTTTCTGTATTGGCACTGGTATAGATTCTCGGTCAGCTGTATTGGCCCTCGACCCTATGTATCATACGTATAGTTCCACCAGAGTAACCTTTTATATATACATATACATATATATACATATGATATGTTCATACGTATAGTTCCACCAGAGTAACCTTTTCTTGGTTATATTTTTAGCTTTTGGAATTTCCATGTCTAGTACATACATGAGTCATACGACGATACGTGTGCACATGATCATGTCTTGCCGACCATGGAATTTGAATATAATTGATCAGTATGAATGTTCAAAGGATGTCGCTGATCTATTATATATTGTTGTGAATTGGTATGCATTTGTCTGCATTCTATTTTAAAATACTATACACTATTGTTGAACCGAAATCGAAGTTTAACAAACTTTTAAAAACAGTGAAACGCCATGAACGCTGTACTTGTTTACATGGTTTACTTCCTGATTGACCTCATACTTTGTTCCATGCTCAGTCCATTGTATATTGTGTTATAATGCCAGTTTGTTAAAAGGAGATGGTGGTAGACCTCAAAAAACGTTCTGCATTGAAATGATTTAGAAGGCATTTAAACTTTTTAGTTCATAGCTATGATATTCACAGTGTACAAAGTTTAGGTATAAAATAATTCTCAGTTTATCTCCAAACAAAACAAAAATGTCAACAAATGTTTATTCCAATGGATTACATACAAGTTTATTACAAAAATTCTATAATTTAAACAGCCAAACAATATCCCAACTACATTTGTACTTGGTCATGTTGGTTGAGTACAGTTATCATGTTATATTTATAAGGGAAATGAACATTTGGTGATAGAATTTTTGAATAATGTTTATGACTCTTTTGAGCATTCTGTAATTTGTCTAGGGGGTCGAAAACAGAAAACTTTTCACACATTAGTAAAGATAAATCTTCATATTATTAAAGTGTTGCCTGTGACCCAAAGTTCATAGTTCAGGTTTTTGCCCTGTCAGAGGACAAAAATTTGACCTGCAATTACTGCTGTGAGTGTAAGATCTGTAGTATCTACTGTCGAAAACTAAGTCCATTTATTATGAAAAATTATGGAAAAAACAAAAGCAAAAAAAAATGTTTATGCCCCCGCCGTAGCGGAGGGGGCATTAAGTTTCTGTTTGCCCTTGTCCGTCCGTACGTCCCAAAATTGGTTTCTGTTCTCTAACTTTAGTTTGCCTCAACCAAATGTTATGAAACTTACACACAATGCTTATTACCACAACACACAGATCAAGTTTGAATTTGGGTTACGTCACTTTTACCTGTCTAGAGTTATGCCCCTTTGTCACGAAATAGAAGTTCCTTCATAATACAAGTTCCAAATGGAAAAAATATTCTGGAATATTATTTCCACTAGAATAAATGTTACAGTACATGTTCATAACGGAATAAATGATATAGAATATTTGTTTCCAAGAGGAACAGATATTATGACTTTGTTTATAACAAAGTTTCCATTGGAACTTCTGTTAGGCGGAACAAATATACGTTGACACCTTTACAAATGGAAAAATTGCGGAATTTTTCGTTTTCGTTCTCTAACCTAAGTTTGCCTCAACCAAATGTTATGAATCTTATACATTACCACAAAAAAAAACAGATCTAGTATGAATTCGGGTAGCGTCTAAAAATTAACATTCTTGAGTTATGTCCCTTTATAACATTATATGCAAGCATCATCTGTGTCCCATGGACACATTCCCCATTTATTTCCTCATGCTATTTCCTGATCTTGAAAAAGCTTCTGTTCAAGTTTCATAATATTCCATAAATTTCTTAAAAATGTAATCAAAATCTGTAAATGTATGGTAATGATGGGATATAATATAATTGTATACAGTCCTTCAGTCATGTCAGAAAAATACTGAAAATGAAAAAAACACATATTTTCAAATTTTTGCTTTTAAGAAACTATCTCGCAATACTGAAAAATAAGCTTCTACCAAATTTTTATAAAATTCTGTGAAGGTTTGAGAAACTTATTGATGTTTAAAAAAAACTTTAACCCCAGACTGTATCTAAATATAAATGTAAAGTCCATTCATCAGTGAAATATATAGGAAAATTAATTTAAATTTTGAACTGGATACTGCCTTTTGATAAAACAAACTTATAACAAAAGCTTCTGTGAAAGTTTCTTTGAATTCCATATTTCAAGTTCAGATTTTGAATTTAAAGTTTCCATGTTGTCATCATAATTCATATGTCAATACCATCCCAAATTTGGCTAAAAGAAAATGTGTGTCTAGTTACTGAAACTGTAGTTAAAAAATTACTGGCAGTCGTGTATAGCTTCAATAATCAGTTCTTGACACTCTCTTACCTGTCATACAAGTGAGAGGTTTAGCTAGCTATAAAACCAGGTTTAATCCACCATTTTCTACATAAGGAAATGCCTGTACCAAATCAGGAATATGACAGTTGTTTTCCATTCGTTAGATGTGTTAAAGCTTTGGTTTTGTCATTTTATAAAGGACTTTCCGTTTTAAATTTCCCTTGGAGTTCAGTATTTTTGTTATTTTACTTTTTACCAAACTTGACTCATCACTTGCTTTGACCACCTGTCTGCTTTATGCATGGCACTTGTATTAAGCATGTTAAGCAGTGTAATTAACATATTATATTTCTAGAAAACATTAAATTGCACTCCTGTTGTCTTACAGGTAGTTCCTAGCTTTTAAATGCATTAACTGTTTGTTCTTCTGTCTGTAATTAGATACAATGTGAATTATTTAAATACAAATTATAAACATATATATATTAATATGAGCAGATGTCAAACACTTTCAGAGGGAACAGTTATTTTAAATTTTAATGAAAGACTAAAATGTTAATAAAAATTGTTTGCCCTATATCTAGGAACTTTTTTTATGTAAAATGATTTCATTGTGTTTGATCAGTCACTGCCAATAGAAGATGTGTTGCAAATATAGTTGGAATTCCAATATATCGCAATTATATTTATCACCAAAAAAAAATATTTATGCATTTCATATTGGATGAATATAAGCATTGTCATAAATGGCTAGCTTATTATTATATTGAAATTGCTTGATTGATTGCTTGATTATTGTTGTTAAACGCCACTTTCAGTAGTAAGCATGCTTGACAAAATGACATTTAACTTTGAAAGAGAGGAGAGAACCTGACCAATCTTAAGCAGAATCTTACAATTCTAGTAAATTAAGGTAGGAGTTGAAAGCACCTGCCACAACATCACAACCTCAGTGTTTATATTTAAATTGAATAACTAGAGATGATATGAAGTGATATATCCGAGTCTCACTCATTATGAAGCCTATAATTAACCTTCCACATGTTAACATGCTTGTCATGAGTCAAGAATCATACCAGTGGTTGTTGTTTTCTCGTTCTGTTAGTAGCCACCTTATACAATTTGTTGAGTTCCCAAAAAATTTATATGTTGTATGTGGTCACTTTTGAATGGTTTATATTTAACTTGTTTCAAAGACATGAGGGAGACCAGTGTTTTCACCTACCTTGTACATTCAATTCATGCTTTTTTATTTATCATTTATAAAGCTCAGCGACAACCAGAGATGAGTGATATCGAGACCAAGGAATACCTTAAAATTGTAAAAGTGAGTTTTGATTTATCTCCAAAGATAGTTCGAGCTTATACAAGGACAAAAGTTTTAACACCAAAGTTTGATGGATCAATAATAGCTTGTTTAGATTCCTGTACTGTAAAACATAACATTTATCATGCATATAAGGGTGGTGAAAGATGTTGTGAATGTAATGATCAATATACTAGGCCTTCCAAATCAGCTCAGGAATGGATATTTAAAAAATTATATTACCAAGATGTAAATGCCAAGTGCAACAAAACAAAGCGTAATTGCTTGTGTATGCTACATGCAAAAGAAGATATAACTCTTGAAGAACTTGATCTTCCAGTTTTATGTGTGATTTTAGAGGGAAATGGGGCTGCTCACCAAGATATTGAAAAACTGAGTAAATTGAGAAACAAAATTTGTCATGTACCTAGCACTCAATCTGTTGGTATTGAGAAGTGTAGGGATATATGGCAAACTATGGAAAAGTCGATCATTGCCATTGCACGGTTGGTGGATCCAAATTGGTATGATATGGTAAAAGACCAGATTAAGAATATACAGAAATTTTCCTTTGATGATGATGATGTGAAAGAGTTGAATGGAAAAGTAGATAAATACATCCAGGTAATAATGACTTTTTATACTTAAATTAATTAATTAACCCTCGATCATGACATCTATTGATTTTAGATTTACATCCTTAGGAATTAATCCATATTGCATAGAAAAATCATACATATCTATAATTTTTTTGTGTTGTTCGGTTGTTATCATACTGATGTATACCAGATGAGGTCATCCTATTATTATCCATTTATATACATGAACATTTTTTAATTATTATACTTTGTGTCAAAATGCCAGATTTTGATTTGTTAATATGAGGGAGACAATTTACTCTATCCCATGGCAAATACTCTATTACCATGATTACCCTTCACAGAGAAGCTTGCTCAAGTGTGCACTTTAATAAATACGGATGATTGTTATGTACAAGACGACATAGTTTATTACTTTGAATTTGAAATTTAATAGACAGTAATAACAGAACATTCAGTATAAAAAATTAAATAACACATGTCTGAGAGGGTGATAGAGCAGATTGTTACCCCTCGATTGTAACAGCCTCAGTTGACAATGTTTTCTCGGGGTAACAATCTGCTCTATCACCCTCTCAGCTATGTGTTATTTATATAATAAACTTACCAGGACATTTATGCAAATTTAAATTATTTGGCTTACTACATCAAAAGCTGAACATATCACCAAAAAGGTTTCTATAACCATGATAACTCATATATTTTTAAATGCAACTATTTAACATGTTTAAAAAATAGTAATAAAGATAAAATCAGGATAATGTTGTTATTTTTAAATGTCACAGACTGAACTTTCTATCTGGACTATTCAGACACCTGTTTATATATGCAATACAAGATCTACAGATACTACCAATATAACAGAAACTATTGGAGGAATCACTGTAGAAGTTATTACCCTTCAAGATATTTTACTATTTTTTTAGTTTTGCCTTTCATCTTGAAAACTATAATAGATAGGTAGAAAGTGAAACAGCAAAAATGATAGCACTAATTTATTTAAAAAAATGCTTATTTGACCAAATCCATTTGGTGATCATTATAGGAGTAAATATAGCCCTTAAAAGTTAAAGGACAATGTAAATAATTATGTTTTACTAATTTATTAGTTTTTGTGTAACTACCAGTACCGGTATCTCAATTTTTGACAAGTGAGCAATTCAGGCTATTTAGGAGAATCTTGTTTTCAATTACTTGAACAAAAAATTCAGAAATTACAAGTCACTTAGAACTAATTGTCAAAGTTTGTATCAAACAAAGATTTGTTGATTTATCGTTGATTTGCTTACTTTGGTATCAGTGGTTATTTTATACCGATGAACGTACTCTATTTATCTGATTTTTAATCATTGTTTTTAAAAACAAATGAAAAATATATAAAATTCAAATCATGAAATGGACTTATCAAAAGCTGAATTATTTACTTTTCTATATTGTTCATGAATCACCAGAGAAGTGTGTTTGTTTCTTGTCTGATACATTACAATGGTTAATCAAATGTTATTTATTAGTTTTAACCATTGATTTTATGGGGAAACTTGAAATGAAGCATTATTTAGAAATCTATATCCCTTTATGTCAAAGTTATCTTTAGAAAAAAATTATGCAAACTTCATTTACCAGATATATATAGAATGTTGGCATTTTTGTTTCTGATACTGACTTTATTGGAAAAAACATCAAGCGAGCCAACTAGGGTGAGTTGATATTCGAGCTGATGAAGTCAGTATAAAAAAACCAAAATGCCATTATTCTTTTTATCTGCAATTTTTCTTAACAATAATTTTTTAGGTTGAAAATATGAAATAAAATGAATTAGTTAGTAAAATTACTTCTGTTGTACTTTTACACACAAAAAGCATTGTGATAGTTGTTCGGTTGTATGAATGAAGTCGTGTGTATTTCATTGATAAATTGACCCGGATGGACAAGAACATGCGTCGTTGCCTATTATTTTCGAGTATAAAGTCCATGATCTAATTAAATATTAGGCAGTAGGATCAAAGGACAAATGTACAAATTGCAAATAAAGTTATATATTTTGCTGTGGCTGGATATTCACACTGATGGGGAGGAAGTAATAATCTAAGGATCTACTTTTACTGTTCTAACTACTAGACTGTCATCTATATATAGTTCTTCAGAATACCAGATTCTTGAAAAAGTTCTGCTTCCACAAAATAGTTTTGATGAACAATGCTACAGTTCTGATTTCTTTTTTTGTATATTTAGTTAGTAAAAATTGAGTCAATAGAGGTTAAAAAGCATGTTTCTGCAGAAATTGGTACTGTCAGGGAAGACTTGCAGCAAATTAAGAAAGAGGTTAAGGAAGAGAGTCAAAAGGTATGTAGTAAAAATCCAGATGTTCAATTTCTATCATATGTGAAATATTCTGAACTGAAATTAACTAGACAAACGCAAACAATAGAGTAAACTAAAAACATATTGAAAACACCGATATTACCATGTATATGGTACAAAGGTCTATTTCCTATACTGTTAACATCACCAGATCATAATATATACATTGACATATATATATTCCTGCCCTGTACAAATATAACTATAACCTACATAAGTCTAATGAACTAAATTATATCTGCATAGAATTTACAAACATTAAGTTCTATATTCACAAGACATTATTATGGAACTTTTGTAATAATATAATAACTGAACCAATACTTGTATTAATTAAATATCTATAAAATATTATTTCTTCATTTTTTTTCAGTAAAATTACTTCTGATTGCGTGAAAATACTTCTTGAAAAAATGAAATATCTCATTCATGCTCAATCTTTCTGACTTTAATATTATAGGATTAAACGCCTTTTTAAAGGAATTTATTGGTGTGTAAACTGGACCAACTCACAAACATCATAAAAGTCTGAATTGGTCCAGTTCATACACCAATAAATTCTTTTAAAATATGCGTTTAATCCTTATAATTCTTTAAAATTGGAGATAAGTTATTTGATTTTCCCACTCATAACCTCTATCACATGTAAATTGTATATTTGTGTCATTGAATTTGCCTATACAAAAATATATATTATCATTCAAATGAATGATTTGTGTTTATTATTTAATTCAACAATGAACGCAAAGTGAAAATAAATATTTTTAACGCCGAGCCGGTATGTGTTATCATCGCCGCCATCTTGTTTACATTGGTTACAAAAAGTAGTTCCATCAACGTCGTCTATGGAAAAATAAATAACTTCACGATCCATTAACGGAAGGCCTCTTGACCAATCATATAAACGTATTCCCTAATATGCAAATCATATAAAGAATTATTCAAAATTACATTTTCTCTTAGATTCAAACTAAACATGCTTAAGGAAAATTGTGCAAACATTAAAGACCTAGAAATATTAGTAACTGACCTGGAATTAAGTGTCCAGAATATAACAATATAAGTATTATAAATATGGCTGCTGTATGTATATGTAATATAGCTTGTCTCTCACTAAGCTATTCTGACTATCAGATTCTTCTGAACAAATATGAAGTAGTTGTTGATTTATGTACACATATATTCATGTTTACTTATAGTACTAAGTGTCTTTTTTGTAGTGGGAATGTATAAATACCCTGCAACATCCAGTCGGTGTTTTTGTTGGATGTTTTTCTGTGCTTTGTATCCATCTGTTGAGTTGAGCCCTTTTCAACTGATTTTTATAGTTTGTTTTATGTTGTACTGTTACACCACTGTCTCAGGTTAGAGGGAGGGTTTGGCGCCAACAAACTAGTTTAACCCCGCAACATTCTGTATGCGCCTGTCCCAAGTCAGGAGCCTGTAATTCAGTGGTTGTCATTTGTTGCTGTATATCATATTTGTTCTTCTTTCATTATTTTGTTCATAAATCAGGCCGTTAGTTTTCTTTTTTGAATTGTTTTACATTTGTCATTTCGGGGCCGTTTATAGCTGAATAATGCAGTATGGGTTTTGCTCAATTTGATGGCCTTACTGTGACCTCTAGTTGTAAACTTCTATGTCATTTGGTCTCTGGTGGAGAGTTGTCTCATTGACAATCATACCACATCTTCTTATTTTTATAATTAATAATCTTTATTTGATACAAGGAAGATATAATTTATATGAATGCAGTACTAGTAACTGTTAGTTATAACTGAGCTTTTCAATAGTAGGAAAGCCAGAATATTAAGTTTTATCTGGAAATAGCTTCAAACAGAAATATCATAATATCATAAAGGACACAATATACTGATATATTGTACCAGGTTGATATTCTATTATAGATATTAAGTTAGAAATTTTATTTGAACAACTTAGAATTCTTTTTGTCAGGTGTTATACTTATGCAATTTATTTTTATATACTTTAATGTAATTAATATTTACTTGTATAAGTAAATTTGTGACATGTATATTATCATCCTCAAGGTTTAAATAATTTCCTCTTAACATCAAACTTTGATAATGTTAAGAATATATATTATATTATGTAATATGATAAATTTGACCTATTGAAATTAAAAAAAAAATAATTGTTTGAAATAAAAATTCCTGACTTATGAAATAAACTAGAAGATGAAAATAGTTCTTTTTATCGATACTTAACATATATTGAAGGCAAAATCTTTTTAAAAATCTTTTTGTTTTAATTTTAAGGTGATAGCTGCATTGGAAGAGAAAATTTCACCTGTGAAAGAAGAACAAGCTACTTTTAAGAGATGTATACATAATATAGATGGTAAATTAATCTTTTAGTCTTTACATCTTTTTATAGGCTGCATGAAGTACAAATCTTTGTATATACCTTGAAGATGTGGACCTTATTGTACATATTTGGAAATATTCGACATTAAAGACAACAACACTCATGAATTAACATAAAGTACCTGAAGACGCCACGCTTGCTGGCGAAACATGTTGACCATTAAAAGTATTACTTTGTGGTAATTTATGAGTGTTGTTGACTTTAATGTCAATATATTCTTACTTTATGAAAGACAACTGTGAATAAAATTGAGAATGGAAATGGGGAATGTGTCAAAGAGACAACAACCCGACCATAGAACAGACAACTGCAGAAGGTCACCAACAGGTCTTCAATGCAGCGAGAAATTCTCGCACCTGGAGGCGTCCTTCAGCTGGCCCCTAAACAAATATATATACTAGTTCAGTGATAATGAACGCCATACTAAACTCCAAGTTGTACACAAGAAACTAAAATTAAAAATAATACAAGACTGACAAAGGCTAGAGGCTCCTGACTTTGGACAGGTGCAAAAATGCGGCGGGGTTAAACATGTTTATGAGATCTCAACCCTCCCCCTATACCTCTAGCCAATGTAGAAAAGTAAACGCATAACAATACGCACATTAAAATTCAGTTCAAGAGAAGTCCGAGTCTGATGTCATAGATGTATCCACTCGATTTTACCCTACCACATGATCACCACTTCAGGTGTTGGTTCACTTAAACAATTACATATTTGAATCTTGTTTGGGGATTTTCTAGATGGTGAACATTATTTGGTTTTCAGCAGCATTTTGCAATGAATGATTTGTGTAATCAACACAGAGCATTCAACCTTTTTAGAATTTTTAGCCAAGTTGCTGAAATTTAAACTTTATCTGATTATAATAAGATCAATTCATTGAGATGTCCAGACATCAACATTTTTGGTTTCCTTAATACAATTGTTTTGAGCCTTATAAAATATTTTTATCAAACTACGTGGGATAATGCCCAATGGGATGAGAAATGCCCCTAGTGATTTTGGAACTAATAGGTAAAAGGTCAAGGTCACAGCAGTCATTGATGGACTGAAATTTGAACAAAATTTTAGTTTCAAGATGTAAAGTATTGAACCATGTTTCCAACATTTACCAAACTTGGTCTAACATTGACAAATGGGTGGAGGAATACTCCTATTTAAATTTGGGGTTAATATTATAAAGGTAAATGTCACAGCAACTATTGAAGGCTGAAAAAGGGACAAAATTGTGGCTTCTGGGTTATATCTTTTGAACCATATATCGAGATTTACCAAACATAGCTTGAGTATGCCCCTCGAAAGAACAAAACAATGTAATTATTGACCTTGAAAGACAATTTTTACCCATTTTTGCTTTTTTGCAGAAATATATTGGAGATATGATATAGGTAGATCTACAAATAAGTCATCATGGACACAATTGTCATTCGACCTATTTAAGAGTTGGTCCTTGATTGACAATTTTTACCCATTTTTGTGTTTTTTTGTGGAAACTACATGAGTAGATAGTGAGATGTTGATAACATAAAAATGATCAATAGGACAAGATTTATGTATATAAACCAACATGGCAAATATCATTAGTTCATTGGATGAGTTATTGCCCTTGGAAGAGAATTTCAACCCATTTTAATTGGATTTTCTAAATGAAAAATCTATTTATTAAAATGGTGATGTATGCAGGGCAGGCGGCTTCAAACAGTTTCGGTGCATTAGCTAATGGATCATTCAACCAATTTAGCTTTTCAAATCTTAATATGTTGTTATAATGACTTAATTGAAGTCAAGTTTGATATTGATGATTTTCACTTTTGCTGTTCAGGAGTTATTGTGCATGATAGATTGGAAAATGGCATGTTATGTTGTATCTGTGCAATAACTTATGAACTGTTCAGCCAATGCTTTTCAAATTTCAATAGGTTGTGACCGATGACAAAATGGAGGTCCAGTTTGATATTGACTATTTTCACTTACACTGATATTTAATCCTTGATAGATCAGAAAATAGGCACAGAACATGGCAGGTCAAACAAGCCTGAAAGCCCAATACACAACAATACATCAATTACATTCGTACTAGCTGCCTTCCTGAGTTCAATAATTGTTACCTTTAAAAGTTAGAAAATCTAGTTTGCTGTAAATTTGTCAGCTCATTTCTTTTTTTGCTTTTCTGCCAGAAACTATCAGAAATATTTTGATTGCATTGTATCTATTTCCTGTAAAAATGCTAGGTGAGTGATTCTGGCTGTTATTTGTTGAGCCTGTAAAATTTTGTTGCAGAAACTAGCTAGACGTAGGGATTTTACATTCCGGCTTTGGTTTCATGCGCATTGACATTACATTCTGTCTGTGGTTTAAGGTTTTTTTTTTTACATCAGTAACTTTGTCAAACCTTCATAATATTATATGAAACTTGGACATAAGCTAATTCATTAGCAAAAGACAGTATCCATAACAAATTTTTGAGAAAAAAATTTTTCTCCATTTTTTCTTACTTCACTGATATGAAAGACTTAGTTTTTTTTCATTTACATTAAGATACAATTATCTAAGGACTTAAAGCCTAAAGTTTTTATCATCAGTGGATTTGTCAAATTTTCATGGAATTTTACGAAACTTGGGATATAAGCTTTTTAGCTCACCTGACCCAAAGGGTCAAGTGATCTTTTCTCATCACTCGGCGTCCGTCGTCATCCGTTAACTTTTACAAAAATCTTCTCCTCTAAAACTTGGCCTAAATCATCCTTAGGGTATCTAGTTTAAAAAATGTATCCGAAGACCCCGCCCACCAACCAAGATGGCCACTATGGCTAAAAATAGAACATAGGGGTAAAATGTAGATTTTGGCTTAAATCTCTGAAACCAAATCCAACATGGAATAAAATTGTTCATCAGGTCAAGATCTATCTGCCCTGAAATTTTCAGACAAATCAGACAACCAGTTGTTGGGTTGCTGCCCCTGAATTGGTAATTTTAAGAAAATTTTGCCGATAGAGATAAACTGTAAACAGCAAGAATGTTCAGTAAAGTAAGATCTACAAATAATTCAACATTACCAAAATTGTCAATTGACCCCTTAAGGAGTTATTGCCCTTTAAAGTCAATTTTTCACTATTTTTCGTAAATTTTTGTAATCTTTTACAAAAATCTTCTCTTAATCTACTTGGCCAAATAGAATTAAACTTGGCCACAATTATTATTACAGTATCTTGATTGAAAAATGTATCTGATGACCCTGCCCTATAACCAACATGGTCGCCAGGGGTAGAAAATTGAATATAGGTGTTTACTATAGAAGTCTATGGGAAAAATGTAAAAAAACAAATTCAAATGGTCACAACTTGAAAACTAATTTAAATAATGATAAGCATGATCACATAAAGGGTCTTCAGTAACTATTGTAAGACTACAATTGGATGACTTGATTTTTTTTCCAGGGGGGATGCAATTTTTTTCAGGGGGTGGGGGGTTGCCAATCATTCCTCCTTGATGTGTTCCATTTTCTGAATTATTCAGTGTTATTTTTTCTAAAAACCATTATTATATCTTTTTTTTCAGCATACTTATATTGGGTGAATGCCCCCCAGACCAGGCAGGTTAGTCGGGGTCAAGACCCTTGCACAAATTTTTTAAAGGGTGTTAAAAAAACAACATTTTAAGGCATTTCCAGCATTATACAGGCCCTGGATGAAATAAATTTTGGAGCGGAGGAAAGGAAGTTTTGCATTTTTTGTTAATTATCTTGAATATAATTATAGATTGAGATATACTGTAAACAGCAAAAATATCAAGCAAAGAAAGATCTACAAATAAGTCAACATTACCCAAAATTGGCAATTGACATCTTATTGGAGTTTTTGTCCTTTTATTTTCTGCAATTTATTGGTAATTTTTGTAAATTTTTTCAAAAATTTTCTGCTTTTAATTTAACTACTGGGCCAAATTAAACCAAACTTGGCCTCAATCATTATTAGGGTATCTATTATGTTTACATGATTTCCAAAACCACAGTAGATACAGGTGAATGACACAGGCTCTTGAGAGCCTCTCGTTATGATCAAAATACAGTATCCACAGCAAACTATTTAATCAGTGAAATATGGAAAAAATTCTATTTTTTTCTTCAGATACTATATGTTGATCTTAAGGAGGCTTCTATCCAAGTTTTTTTTATCATTCCAAGAAAGGTTTAATAAAGTTGTGGAAGTCTAAATAATTTAATAAATAAACATGACCATTATTTTCAATTGAATCCTTGTAGAAATGTTTCCCTGAAATGATAGATTTTGTCTTGCCTTAATGAAAAAAGCAATTGGCTTAATTAGGCTTGCTGCTTCTGTTGGTGCATGTGTTGGTGGGATTAACATTAACAATGTAAATTATGTGATGATGTCAGTTTGGTATGCAGTTGTATTAGTATTGGCACATCTCATTTCCATGGAGAATAACATCATTTGGCCCCTGTCTCCTCAGTCATGGTCTATTGACTTTGAATGTTTTCCATAGTTTACATGTTAAAGTTTGTGATCAGGTCAGTTTAAGATGAACCCCCAATATTACGTCAATTATATATGGTATGCATGCAGTTGTATAAGCATTTGCAAGTCTCATATCCATGGAGGTTATATGGCCATGCCTCTTCATCATAGTTCATTGACTAAAAACATGTACACAAAAAGCAAAGGAACAACACTTTTATTGCTGTTCTTCATCTCAAAGTCACAATAAGGACTTCAACCGGGAGCAATAAAACTCTAACATGTAATAGTTTTTGTTTAGGTTAATATAAAGGGAATCATGATGCTATGTCACTGATGGTATGGAGTTTTATCAGCATGGGCTTTTCACATTTCCATGGAGGTTTTTTGGCCCTGCACATTCAGTCATTGTTCAATCATTAACTGAATGATTTTCAGAGTTTACATGTTAAATTTTAATTTCAACATTTGCATTATTATACTATCATGAGGGGGCAGGAGGGGTTCTGATCCCGAAATTCCGAACTTAATTTGCCCAAATCCCAAATTCCTGATCTTAAAACATTGAAATCCCAGAACCCGACAAAAGAATAATCCTGAAATGATAAACATGCATATGGCCTCTAACCTCAGATAAACATGTCAATCATACTTTTTCCATGGGATTACATGTCTTTTGAATATCTATTGCTATAAAACTGTGAGTTAGCAAGGCATGGTGATCCTCTTGGAGAAACTGGATGACCATTGTAGCATGTGTGTAGTGAAAGAAGTTTGTATTTTGTAACCGTAAGCCATAACCAACAGTTTAAAATTGTATTTTATAAATTCCCCCAGTTTTCGTTTTGTACTAGGCGGATTCGGATATTTGATTGTTTGGTTTTGTTGTGGTTTTACACCGTCTTTCGGCAGTAAAACTGAAATCCTTTTAATTCAGAATGGAGTCTAACACGACCCGATAAAAAAGGTAATCATATTCTAACTTAAAACCCCAGTGCTGACATGCTAGTATAGTCAGTGATGAGTATAGTTATCATTACGAGTTATGACGAATTACCGTGACCACTCGGCCACCATGGTATTTTGGTGTTCGGAGCTAAAACAACTATGTCCCCTCCTTTGGTTTATTATTTATAAAGCTATTTATATGAGCTGTTGACTTCAGTTTCAAATTATTGTGTACGAGCATGCCTCAATAGATCTCAATAGGATAATCTAGAAACACAGATCGATCAAGTTTATTGCCACCCATGCAGCTTGTATCTTTTTTTTGTTGGACTGATACATGTTCTCTGGGTATCATTTTTTGGTCGATAAATTCTTGAATTAGTCAAGATAAGAATCAAATAAGGTTCCGACTCTCTTAATCAAAATGGAATTAACTCGTTTAATATGTTGCTTAAAGTACAAATGATCTGTGCATTATAAATGAGTTAGTTAATACACCCTTTAGCTGCGCATTATCCAGATTATACCACAGCAAGATCAAAAGGATTTTCCATATGTCATGTGTGAATATGTAATTAAGAAATAAGAAATGTATTTCAGAAAACGAGGAAAAAATAGGTGATGGCAATTTTTCAGTTGAACTATTCTGACAATTTGAGTATATATAATATATCTTTTATTTGATACGTTTGTGAGTGAGTTGGCCGAATTACACATCGATAAACTCCTACAAAATCGGATTCAATCCTATAATATTCTGACTGAATTAAAATCATACTTTTGGTCTTTGTGTGCAAGAATGAGTGAACAAAAAAGAAGGCTGAAGCGAAAAGAGAGTGAAATTAAAATCATGTACACTTCGTTCATAAAAAGTTGGGCACAATGATAGAAAGAACGGTCTATAGCTATTTTGCTGCCTTGGTTGAGTTTGAAAAATGTACAAATATCGTATTTTAGCATTAGTGTAGTACCTAACAAAACAGACGATTCTTCTTGGAAAAGATCTCTTTCATTGTCCCACTGCTGTTGTGTATTGATGAAAAATGTTTCTGTCAGTTTGTTTATTTCCTTCACTTGGCGTGTTAATTTAAGAGAAATGGAATTCCCTAGACCCTTTTCCAGTGCTGAAGAGCAGAGCCCTAAATAATTTTTTATGAATTTTTTTAAATTCTCTAGGTCAGGGAATTTTGTATTTTTTCCACTTGGTCAAGAAAGATGTTGACTCTTTCTTTACAGAATGGTGTAATGGAAGAGTCATTGTAGATTAAGATCAATGATCGCAGTTTATATTTATCTTGGGCCATATATATATATTTCTTTTGTGCTGCCAAAATACGTCTAAGTTCTTTGGGTATTATAAAAAGAGAATTGGACTCTAAAGAGGATGAACATTTTTTACGAAATCAATACAAAAATCAAACAAGATCAAGTAAGATCCGTGAATCTAGAATCGAAAATCTTTCAATCACTGTAAGGTTCTGTGATTTTTTGGGAAGGATTTAAGGAAAAATTGTCATCCTGACAAGCAAAAATCCTGATTTCCCGAGCTTGAAATACGAAAATCCCGAATCTCGTTCACAATTTTTACCAAAATCCCGGAGTTAAATTGTAGGTGTCCTGATTTCCCAAATTAAAAAAATGGCCGAATCCGACATCCAGAAAAAGGTCCTGCCCCCCCTCTCTCATAATTACATCTCTGTGTCAACAGTTTATCACCCATTTTTTGTATTTATGGATATTTCTTAAAAGCTATAGACAAAAAGAAAACTAAAATTCATAAGCTAGATCAGATCTACAAATATAGGCATATATAACTGATTGCAATATATGTGAAAACAAATATCAAAACTAAATTATTTTTCCCATATGACATGTATGAGCAATTGAGACTCTTGTTATACCCCACGCAACGGGTTGCAGAGGGTATAATGTTTTTGACCCGTCCGTCCGTCAGTCCTGTTTCTTGTCATCGCAACTCCTCTTAAACCACCCAACAGAATTTCACGACACCTTTTTAGATAATAAGGACATACTATGTAGTTGTGCATATCAACAGGAAATTGCGTTTCAATTTTTTTTCTAGGAGTTACGCCCCTTTGAACTTATATACTTTAATTTACTACTGCAACAGTTTGTCATCGCAACTCCTCTCAAACCACACAACAGAATTTCATGAAACCTTTTCAGATAATAAGGACATACTACGTAGATGTGCATATCGACAGGAAATTACGATTCAATTTTTTTTCCAGGAGTTATGCCCCTTTGAACTTATTTGCCCAATATACTACCGTCCGTCTGTCCTGTTTCTTGTCATCGCAACTCCTCTCAAACCACCCAACAGAATTTCACGAAACCTTTTTAGATAATAAGGACATACTATGTAGTTGTGCATATCGACAGGAAATTGCGTTTCAATTTTTTTTCTAGGAGTTACGCCCCTTTGAATTTATTTCTTTAATGTACTACTGCAACAGTTTGTCATCGCAACTCCTCTCAAACCACATAACAGAATTTCATGAAACCTTTTCAGATAATAAGGACATACTACGTAGATGTGCATATCGACAGGAAATTACGATTCAATTATTTTCCCAGGAGTTACGCCCCTTTGAACTTATTTGCCCAATATACTACTGCAACCTTTTGTCATCGCAACTCCTCTCAAACCACACAACAGAATTTCATGAAATCTTTTCAGATAATAAGGACATACTACGTAGATGTGCATATCGACAGGAAATTACGATTCAATTTTTTTTCTAGGAGTTACGCCCCTTTGAACTTATTTGCCCAATATACTACTGCAACCTTTTGTCATCGCAACTCCTCTCAAACCACACCGCAGAATTTCATGAAACTGTGTAGATAATAAGGACATACTATGTAGATGTGCATATTGACAGGAAATTATGATTCAATTTTTTTTTCTGATACAATTTTTTTTTCTTACACTTATTTTATTTCTCCAATGACAATGTGGGGACGTGGGGTATGTGAGCGTGCTCACTAAGGTTCTTTCATTTAAAATTTAAGTTTGAGATAAATGCATTATTTTTTTTAATTTTCAGCTTTAGTTTATAGAGCCAAAGTTGTACACAAAATGTTATTAAAATCAGTGACATAGCCCATTTACTATACCTTGATCTTAAACCAATTATATGTAATCTTTGACCTATTGAACAGCACTTAAACATGTTAAATACTATATTTGTCATTTTAAAGTTATTAAATGTTTCCATTCATTTATAGGTAAGACAAATATTTTATTGGATGCAATTAACAGTAGGAACAGATTAGATGCAATAAATAAAAGGAACAGAGAACTCCACCAGGCATATTACAGCCAATTTAATAGTAAGTTGATGAAACAAGAAAACATACAAATTTTATGAAACTCATACACAACGCTAAGAACCATAACACACAGCTAGAGTTCGAATTTGAACAGTAAGTCATTTACAGTTAGAGTTATGCCCCTTTTTAACTTGGAAAATTGCAAAACTTGAGCAGGGACATTCCTGTCCTCAGAGGCATTCTTATTTTATTCAATAACATATATATATGCAAAATCTTAATATAATATGAAAACCCTACCCCTAACCTGGGACAGACAGTGGTGCAACAGTACAACATAAGAACACACTATAAAAAATCAGTTCAAAAGGGCTTACTTAACTCATCAGATGGATACAAAGCACATAAATTACCCTTACAAAAAACAAAAGACACAAAGATCTGAAAGTACTTGCAGTTACTGAAAGCTAGTTCAAAGCCAATAACAACTTATAAAAGATCATGTGTCTAAGGCTAAAATAATGTCCTCTTTCATTGACTTGAGGACTAGATAATCATTCTGTTTTGGTGCTAGATGTTTATCAATAATTTTCAAATACAAAATCCAACACCAATGATTCATAACATTGAATGTGGTTTAACTGTCAAAGTATCTATAAGAATTGGTAAATTAGTCATTAGTTCAAACATTTAAAGGTATTGTTTATTGGAAGGTATGTGTCAAAGTAAAACTAATACCACAGTATTGATTATTTGATTAATTTTTACAGGTTTGCCAGAAGAGATATACTTTATACATGCATCACATCTGTTTAGGAATTCTGGAATTTACTCACATCCATTGCAACAAACCTTATACAGACCAGAAACCAGCTACAGACAGATGTTTCCATTTTCAGTGCCAGCAAATCTAAGTATGGCTTAAATTAGTTTTTTTACCTCACCGGGCCTGAAGGACCAATGTTAGCCAGTGTTCTCCCCAGGCCCTTAAAGGACCGCGGGCCCGTGATGTATAATTTTTTAGCGTGGTTCTATCTGTCTTAGCGTGGTGGTATAATTTTAGTCTGCGGTGCTAAAATTTTTAGTTAAAAAATCGTAAATCACCAAAATTTTAAACGACTTGACAAATCTTTTCCGTGCGGTATAAAATTCCAGGTGAAATTTAACCAGTTCAAACCAGATTGTTGATTGGATTTAATCGATGTAAATAACACTTGTAACAGGTTTCTTTTGTATTTTAATTGATTAAGAGATCATAAATTTATGATCACATATAACTATTTTATGGCTTCACTCACCACCCAAGCGCTGACCTGTGACAAGTCGGCAAATACTTTGTACACAAAACAGTGTCGATAGTTATACACACGCCGGAACATTTTTTGTACATAATAAATTGTTGGCTCATTACGTATAATTGACAATTATACATTTCTCAATTCTTTATGAAGCACTAGAACAAGCGTTCCTTGTCAGAAATATAGGATTATTAAAATTCACGATGTCCGTTCTACATTAAACCATGGCCAAAATTATCTTTAATTATGACATAGTTATTGCATGATAGTTGGGTTTCAAACTTTAGTACCTGTCAACAAGTAATTAAAAGGGGACGGACATTTGACCTATCACATGACCCAGTTAATTCAATTACAAATTTCAAGTTTATTTTCAATTAATTGCAATCTATTTTTTAACTAAAATGCATGACTGTACCTTCAAACTGGATATCTATATCCAAAATTAATGAATAAAAGAAGTAATCTTGCAAACATTATCCATAAGCACATGTTAAAAATCTATTTTTATCTACTTCCTGTCATTTAGGCGGAAAATAGGGAGACTTTGTTGTTGACATTGAATATGGTTACTTATAGATCTATAGACCTATATATAAGATAAATAGATTTAGGAATTCTTTTTAAATGGATCATGACAAATAAAGATTTAGATTTTAGTGCAGTATTTAGTCTGTATCTATGTTTGATTATCACCAAAGACAAGAAAGGTTAATATTTACATGAAATTTATATTTATGGCAAAATGTTTTAAAGTTTATGAAAAATTTCTTTTTATTAAAATTTAAGATAGAAACTGGCTCAAATAATAAAACAATATTTGTTCTTGTTAATTTTATATCTCCTTATGACAGGAATCCTTTTATATACAATAACATTCTATCTAAAAACTAGAAAGTTTTTTAAATTGAACATTTTTGTTCTCTTTTGAATGATATTTTATTTTTATTGATCATGGATTTTATAAAAGATTTAATTACTATAATTATTTAGATGAATATTTTGTAATGAATCATGTTTTATTTATTTTTAAAAGATACATGTATTAAAGTATACAAACTGTTTATTCATTTACTTCTTTTTTACCAATAATTTTCTGACTCATTGTCTACATAATACAGTACCACAGTATTAAAACAAAACAAGACATAAAAACTATGGTAACTTAAAATATAGCTAAGCGACACATTGCGACACAACTGATTGTACAAATCATTTCACCAAGCTGTCCAATTTGAAAAAATTATAAGTGTTTTGATTTTTGTAATTCAAGAGGCCAAAATAGTGGCCTTCATCATATCTTCTTCATTGACACTATCTTTATTTTATTATTTCAGAAGAGTTGGAATTGGAAATTAGAAATCTGGTATTTAAAATACAGTTGAAGGGAATTGAAGAACATTTTGCTATGGTTGACATCCCTTCTCTAGGTAATCCAATGAACCATAGTTGCTATTAAAACTTTACTGAAAATAAAAAAAAAATAAAATTATAGCCTGTATCATAAAGTAATTGTTTAGTTTGGACATAAACCAATTTGTTAGAATAAGATTCCAATGTTAATATTTTAGCAAATGCCACCCTTTATGTCCAGTGGATACTTTATACCTGTCCAACATTTAAGTGGAAGATGTCTCAAGTTTTAAAGACACCAGAAAAGGAACTTTGGTATACCCCGCCTTTGTTCAAAATACAGAGTTTAAGCAAAGAAGAGCCATATATATTTCATACATCAGTAACAGGCAAAGTTTTTAACAACTGGACAGAATTCCACAAGGCTGTTTCTTCTTTCCTGGAGCACATTGTGACAGTATGCAATATAGAAACAAAGGACAGAACATTTGTACGTGTAGACTTCATTCTTCTCAGTGGACCTGTGTCAGGTGAGTAAACTAATTAAACAAGCTGGTGTTTTCAATGAACAATGTGAAAAAATGCTTTCCATTTTACCCAAAACAATTTACCCCAAGGCTTACACATATTTGTTTTTACTCTGCTTATACACTAAACCAGAAGCCCAAAAATATATTTTGCAGTGGTTTTAATAATAATGTATTTTGCATTACTTGTTGAATATGGTATTTTTTTTAAACATTGTAATTCAATAAAAAAAGCCTTATTTAGACTAGACAATACTACAGAAATCAACTACAGTCAGAGCTCAAATGTGTTTCACCACTCAGAAATTCCCCTATATATTTGATATGAAAGCAATTTTTTTAAAACTCTGCCAAAAACTAATTTCAGGTACTATTTTTATTTCCTTACAGTTGTAAAATAAAATCATGGATATATTTCATTACTTATTGCAAGAAATTGCAAAAAAAAATCTGCATTTAATGGAATCGATTTCATCCCCGGGGAGTTGGGCTAAGAAAAAACTTTTAAAGCAGAATTTTTAAAAATTTATGATAAACTATTAGGGAGGACTACTAGCTGACAGATAGACCTAGACCATATCTCAAATATACTGCATAACATACTGCTTTAAAAGAACAACAGTGACAAAGGAGTATGGGCAATAAGGCCCGTTTTTGGTCCAAATATTAAAATTTAAAGAGTTTAAGGATGGTTTCAATCCCTGACGAAATCTGCATATTTTGTAAAACTTCTTGATTTTCTGTCCTTTCCATTAACATCTAAGTAGAATTTGGATTGGAAAAGTATGTACGTACCTAAAAAACAACTTTATATTTGGTCAGATTTATGTAAATAGTTATTATAACATGTATAAAGCTTCTCTAAAATTATCTTGTTTTTTTTTGGCTGCAAAAAATGTTTTCAAAAGGAAATATGGATGGAAAACTCCATTAGTTCAGCAGTTTTCTTTATTTTCATGAAAAAGGTGCATATAATGATGTAATTTTAACGTCATAACATAAAAAAATCTTATGTAACACTCTTTTCATGTTTTTTTTTATTACAGACTACAGTAAAAGGTTTTTGAAAACAGGAGAGGAGATGAAAGGTAGGTTATTAGGGTCCCGCCGAATGGTGGACGCCCTATAGTGATCAGTCTGTCCGTCCGTCCATCTGTCCGTCCGTCTGTCCATCCGTCTGTCCGTCCATCCATCCATCCGTCCGTCCGTAACAAATTGTGTCCACTCTATATCTAGAGAACCGTTATGATTTCAAAGTTTATACTTGACATGTATATTAACCAACACCAGAGGGTGTGTCATAATGTATGTACAACTTCCTAGGTCAAAGGTCAAGGTCAAAAACTTTGGTTTTAGTTGACAACCCCATGTCCTATGGTAAAGGTTGTGTTAGCTCTATATCTTGAGAACTGTTATGATTTCAAAATTTATACTTGACATGTATATAAACCAACACCAGAGGGTGTGTCATAATTTATGTACAACTTCCTAGGTCAAAAACTTTGGTTTCAGTTGACAACCCCATGTCCAATGATAAAGATACAAATTTTTTACCACACATTATTCACAGCGGGGCCCACAGAGATGGCTCCCATCTCAATGATATCTAGTTTACTTCAGTTGATGGATTTTAATAATTCTCGAATTGCTTCTATTAAGTCGTAAAAGAATACTCATTAACTCACAAAGTTGCTGATATATACTGTAATGACCTTATCCATCTGTTTGTCTGTCTGTTCATTTGTCTCTTTGTTCATCCATAAATGTCGGACAATTGTTTTCAGGAGTGTTTGTCCTTTAAATACTATTTTTACAACTTTTTTGGCATTTTGGTTATTTTCTTGAAAACTATGATAGAGTAAAACTTTAATTTGCAAATATGATCAGCATGAAAAAAACTATAGATAAATATTCAAAATAGTCATGATAGTCATTTAATAAAATTTACTGTGTGTTAAAAAAAAAATTTAAATTAGGAGAATCATCTTTTTTGATTTTAATGAAAATTGATAAATAGCTATAATATGTATTCAAATTTGTGGGAAAAGGTTTTTTTTTTTTTTTCAAACCCAAAACTCCCCACTTGAGGCAGGCAAGCTCCTTCAACATCACTGAAAAGTTTTTTGTTTAAAAATTGTGTTATTTTTTTAGAAAAATATTGAAAAATGAAATTTATGTTTTTAATGAAACATGCAAATTTAAAACTGAAATGTCTCGAAAAGTAAGTCACGAAGGTATATATTCTTTGCATATTTGGATAGTCATATCAAAATTTATTTTTATTTTGAGCCAAAATTTTATGGAAAAATCAATGAGATATCTTTTCTGTTTTGTATGAACTAAACTGTTTATTCCTAATAAGTTCCTTAGAAGTAAACTTTCAATATATATACTTGTGCAAACTACAGTATTGAAGTAAATGTTTTTTTAAATGTAATTCATATGGAAAAGGGGGTTTTATACAACAAACTGTAAGAAAAAAAGGAAATCAAGTGTTCCAACTTAATATTATACATTTAGATTTAATGCCTCTTCATAAAACAATATTAATGTTATGAAGTGTTCAACAGTTTGTGGTTTTTGCAGTCCATTTGGTCTGAATAACCGATTACACTTTTTTAGTGTTTTAATGTTTCATTTTGGCATAGTTTAAAGTGAAAATTTTCACGATGCCACATTTTTTTTTATTATTTTATGTTATATTTCAAAAACATTTATGCATATTTATGTTGACATACATGTATCTTACAGTATAGTCATGATAGTATAATAGAAATGGTATGTGAAGCAAATTTTTTCTTGTCCCTAAAACTGTTTGTTATCATAACTAGGCCTAAGTTTTTTAATTTGTTGGTTTACAGATTTTCAATGCGAAAAGTTCAGGCCTCGTCTGTTGAATTAAAAAAAATTTAAATAATCTTATAACGTTATTGTATATAGCAGATTATAGCTAACATGTAATTGACTACTGCAACATATTTGTTCTCCTTTTTTTGTCATTTCATAAAATTTTAGTTTGAAAACATTTTGGAACGTACAATGTATGTAAGCGTCATGAATGAAGTAGACAGTACACATTTTTGTTTAGCGGCCAGCTGAAACCTGCCTCCGGGTGCATATTTTCTCATTGTGTTGAAGACCCATTGGTGTCCTTGGGCTGCTTTTTGCTCTTTGGTTGGGTTGTTGTCTCTTTGACAAATTCCCTGTTTCAATTCTCAATTTTACATTCATTGTATTCCTTTCGAACTTTTTCCAGGTATAAACCACTCTTTTGATATCATAGTGGACAAATATTTTTCATACAACTTATGAAACATATAAAATCACTAATTATTTTGTCATCTGATGTTACATCTCAACTGATTTTTGTCGCAGAAAGCTCGACATAGGGATAGTGATCCAGCGTAAGCGTTAACTAACTTCTTAAAAGATTGATATTTCAGAAGGTAGAAGACCTGGATGCTTCATACTTTGTATATAGATGCCTTATGATATGAATTTTCCGTCTGTCATATGTCCATTGTCCTTGACCTCATTTTCATAGTTCAGTGACTACTTGAAAAAAAAGTTAAGATGTTTTGTAATGTTAATTTCTCTCTTATTATGAGTAATAGGATAATTATATTTGGTATGTGCGTACCTTGCAAGGTCCTCATGCCTGTCAGACAGTTTTCACTTGACCTCAACCTCATTTCATGGATCAGTGAACAAGGTTAAGTTTTCGTGGTCAAGTCCATATCTCAGATACTATAAGCAATAGGTCTACTATATTTGGTGTATGTAATGATTGTAACATGTACATGTCCAACTGGCATGTGTCATCTGACCTTGACCTCATTTTCATGGTTCAGTGGTAATAGTTTAGTTTTTGTGTTTTGGTCTATTTTTCTAATACTGTATGCAGTAGGTCAACTATATTTGGTGTATGGAAATATTTTACAATGTACATGTCAGTCTGGCAGGTTTTATTTAACCTTGACCTCATTTTCACAGTTCATTGCTAAATGTTAAGTTTTTGTGTTTTGGTCTGTTTTTCTAATACTGTATGCAAAAGGTCAACTATATTTGGTGTATGGAAATATTTTACGCTGTACATGTCAGTCTGGCAGGTTTTATTTAACCTTGACCTCATTTTCATGGTTCTTTGCTTATGTTAAGTTTTTGGGTTTTGGTTAGTTTTTCTTTACCTTTAAGCAAAAGGTCAACTATATTTGGTGTATGGAATGATTGTAAGGTGTATATGTCTGTCTGGCAGGTATCATCTGACCTTCACCTCATTTTCATGGTTCATTTGTCAATGTTCAGTTTTCCTGGTTATCTTTGTTTCTTAGATACTATAAGCAATAGGTCAACTATATTTGATGCATGGAATGATTTTAAGGTGTACATGTCTCTCTGGCAGGGTTCATCTGAACTTGACTTCATTTTCATGGTTCATTTGGTCAATATAGAATTTCCATGGTTTAGTCTGTTTCTTTTATACTATAAGCAATAGGTCATCTATATTCTGTGTATGGAATGATTGTATTGAAGGTGTACATGTATTTCCTGCTTGGTTTATCTGACCTTGACCTCATTTTCTTGGATCATCAATGTTAATGTGATACTTGTAGTAAAACTTTATATGTTGGTCTATCAACATAAAATCAATGGTCAGTATAGTAGGCGAGACATTTCAGCGTGTGCATTATTGTTCCAATTGGATAGGTGTATTTTGTCTATGTCAATGACATAAATTGTATGTTCAAAATGTTTCAAAAATAAAATCTCACAAAATATTGACAAGTTCAAAACAAATTTGTTTTAATGAACTGTTTACAATAAATATATAGGTTTTGTTTCGTAAATGTATTGACATAAACAGTCAGATGTAATTTGCTATTTTTAAACAAACAAAGCTGTCAATGTGTAATCAGTTCTATTTGTGTATAGAATAACATGTAATTCCAAGACAAACGCTTTTTATTTTTATTTCAGGAATAAGGTATTTTGGAATGGACGGTGGGAATAAAATAGCATGAAAATAAAACCAACAATTTAAAAAACGCTCACCTTCTTGTGCACAATGCTAAAACACAATTATCTTTTTAATAAATCTTTTCCTTTTAAATATCTTACTCTCCCAGTGCAATCCTTCTCCTCGTCTATATGTCTGGTATACTGTTATTTAATGAAAAGAAGACATAAAAGTGAAAAAAATGTCTACCTTAAAAGGGTGCAAAATTTGAAAACTGAAAATTTTATTTTAAAGTTCTGCATAAAAAAAAACCTTGTAAAGAACTAATTACTTACAGATTTTTAAGAAATGATAGAGTGGGTGGCGCATATTCGCCTTGGACATATTTTCGCCGTTTTGCTATTTTTTCTGTAAAATTTGTGTGCCTTTACCCAATACTTGCCTAAATAGATGGTAAAGGCTGTTTGTAATGTTACAACTGTTGATATTCCTCTTTACGCCATTTCAAAGGTTATTCGCACATATTGAGAAATACGCAGGTGTTTTTAAATGATTTTGGCAATTATGTAAGATTTATATGGCAATCATGCGCAGTCTTAAAGTAAATATTTGTGAGAAAAATCGTATAGGAATGATCTCTCAAGCTAATTCATGTAATTGCAAACATTCGTTTTTATAATATACCAGGATAATGAGGATGTGTCATATCATACATTGCGGCGAAAATGTGTCCCCCATGGTACAGGAACAACTTAATTTCCTCTTGAGTTTGTGTTCATTTTTAGAACAATTAACCAATGTTTTGAAGATAATTTCTTTATTAAACATTTTTTTCATATAGTTAAATTTCTGAAACCTTCTTAAAAAGTTCCAAATATTCTAATGTAGGTCGGATGTAAGTGGAAATGAACGAGTTATGCGGCGAATATGGGTCTCTCACTCTACATAGTTTACCAAGATGTTCTGTCTGAGACAGATGCAATCCAGATTGCTTTGTTGATAAAAATAGAAAATTTAATCCCAAAAAACCATTAAGAAAATCTTACAGGTTTTACCGTAAAAGGCTTTAATGGATGAAAGAGTGACCTATGTGGACATTAGGCATTGATACCAGGTAAAGAGAAAGAGGAG